GGAGGGGGGAGAGAGAGAGAGAAGCAGACTCCCTACTGAGCAGGAAGCCTGATGCAGGGCTCGATCCCAGGACCCAGAGATCATGATCTGAGCTGAAGGCAGACGCTTAACTGACTGAACCACCCAGGTGCCCTACCCTCCCCCTTTCTATGAAGAATTAAGATGCTATAACATTTTGGAAACTCAGTTTTGGGGGGTTTTATTTGGATATGTTTTGGGGTCCATGCCATTTTTATCCCCTGGGGAAAACTTGATGACAAAGGAAAAAAGGAAGAAACCTGTCCTTTCCCACCTTCACCTGTAGCTTCTTGAAAATGGGCCTTTGTGGAACAAATGTGCCAGTTTTTATTAAAAAACAAAATAAAATCTTGGAAACAATCAGAACATCCCACAGTAAGCAAATGATTAAACAAACTGTGGTACATCCATACACTTGAATATTTTTCAGCAATAAAACAGAATGAACTATTGATATACACAACATGAATGACCCTCAAAGGCATTAAGCCGAGTGATAAGATCCAGTCTCAAAAGGTGACATACTGTATTATTTCATTTACAAGGCATTCTGGTGAAGGCAATGGTATAGGGATGAAGAATAGATCAATGGTTATCAGAGCTTGGAGTTTGACTATTTGCAATGAAGAACTCCAGTACAATGGAGTTCTCTATGTTAAGTAAGATGTTCTGTATTTACACATTGACATATGTGCTGAAACTCATAAAACTGTGTACCAAATAAGAATCAATTTTACTCTGTAAACTTCTATTTTTTTTTAAGTAATCTCTGCACCATAGGGCTGCAACATGGGGCTTGAACTCACAACCCTGAGATCAAGAGTCACAGGGTCCTCCAACAGAGCCAGCCCGGAGCCCCTACTATGTAAATTTTTAGAATGAAATATATATACCTTTTGATCCAGCATTCCTACTGCTGGGATATGTCTCATAGGAATAAAAACTAAAATCAAAGATGATGCCTATTGTTAGAGGAAGGTTGAATATATTCTGGCACACCAATATGAAATATTATGAAGCCATTAAAAATGAATTAGAGGGGCACCTGGCTGGCTCAATCAGTTAAGTGTCTGTCTTCAGCTCAGGTCATGATCTCGGGGTCCTGGGATTGAGCCTCATGTCGGGCTCCCCGCACCATGGGGAGCCTGCTTCTCCCTCTCCCTCTACTTGCTGCTCCACCTGCTTGTGCTCTCTCTCTCAAATAAATAAATAAATAAATACTTTAAAAAAAAAAAAGAATGAATTAGAGCTGTACCCAGCTACTTAAAGCAATTTCTATGAAATATTGTTGAATAATATATTGCAGGTGCAGAAAAAGTGTATATAATATGATCTCATTTTTGTAAAATAAACAATGACCACAAAAGAGAAACCATAGATATGTATGCATATATGTCTATGTAGAGAATGATATGGTTTCAAGACAGGATGATATGTTCTAATTGTTCTGGATTGGGGTCTTTCCTCAGTATTTCTAATCATATCTCTAGCATTTTACTCCCACTTTGTTTCAAGAACAAAATTATGTAAATTATATCAAGAAATATTATGGCAATATGAGTCTTGAGAAGAGGGATTTGATGTTTTCTTTTTTCAAATCCAATCCATTTAGCCCATCTGCAGGGGATTTATGGTAATATCTTACTTTGTGTTTCCTATTCTTTCTGAATTTTTCTATTTCCCTTTGAGGAGGATTACCCTTTTTTTTTTAATGTTAAATTAGTCACCATACATTACATCATGTAGTGTTCCATGATTCATTGTTGGCGTAAAACACCCAGTGCTCCATGCAATATGTGCCCTCCTTAATACCCATCACTGGGGGGCGCCTGGGTGGCTCAGATGGTTAAGCGTCTGCCTTCGGCTCGGGTCATGATCCCAGGGTCCTGGGATTGAGCCCCGTATCGGGCTTCAGGCTCAGCGAGGGGCCTGCTTCTCCCTCTGCCTCTCCGCCTCCTCATGCTCTCTCTCTCTCTGTATCTCTCTCAAGTGAATGAATAAAATCTGGAAAAAAAAAAAAACCATCACCGGGCTATACCGTCCCCCTGCCCCCCTCCCCTCTAAAACCCTCGTTTGTTTCTTGGAGTCCATCATCTCTCATGGTTCGTCTCCCCCTCCGATTTCCCCCCTTTCATTGTTCTCTTCCTACTATCTTCTTTTTTTTTTTTTTTAACATATACTGTATTTTTTGTTTTGGGGGCACGGTTCTGTGATTCATCAGTCTTACACAATTCACAGCGCTCACCATGGCACATACCCTCCCCAGTGCCCTGTCCCCCAGCCCGCCCAGCCCTCCCACCCCCCACCCCTCCAGCAACCCTCAGTTTGTTTCCTGAGGTTGAGAGTCTCTTAACGGTTTGTCTCCCTCTCTGGTTTCGTCTTGTTTCATTTTTCCCTCCCTTCCCCTATGGTCCTCTGTCTTGTTTCTCGGATTGAGGAGGGTTATTCTTGAAATATTGCCATTCACACAAAGTCTGTTGTTATTTGTTTTGTTTTGTGTCCAGAATTATTGAAATATAGTTGACACATAACATTGTGTAGGTTTAAGATGTTGATTTGATACATTTATATATTGCAAAATGATTACTGCCATAGTGTTAGCTGATACTTCCACCATATCACATCATTACCATCTCTTTTTTTCTAGTGAGAACATTTCAGATCTCTCTTAGCAACTTTCAAGCATGTAATACAGTATTATTAATTATAATCACCATGCTGTACATTAGATCCCAAGAATTTATTCATCTTCTCACTAGAAGTTTGTATCCTTTGACTAACATCTGCCCATTTCCCCCGTCCTGCCATCCCTGGTAACCAGCCATTCAACTCTCTGGTTCTATGAGTTCAGCCTTTTTAGATTCCACATATAAGTGGAATCATACAGTATTTGGCTTTCTCTGTCTGACTTATTTCACTGATGATCACATTTCCCTGATGATTAATGTTGAGCACCTTTTCATGTACCTGTTGACCAATCGTATGTCTTCTTCGGAAAAAATTCTATTTAGTTCCTCTGCCCTTTTTAAAAATCAGATTTTGTTTTGTTATTGAGTTGTATGAGTTCTTTATATCAGATAAATGATTTGCAAATATTTTCTCTTTAGGTTGCCTTTTCATCGTGTCGATTGTTTCTTTTCCTGTGCAGAAGCTTTTTAGTTTTGATATAACCCCACTTATTAATTTTTCCTTTGTTGCTTGTGCTTTTGGTGTCATATCCAAAAAAAATCATTGCCAAAACCAATGTCAAGGAGCTTTTTCCCTGTGTTTTCTAGGAGTTTTACAGTTTCAGGTCTTATGTTTAAGTCTTTAATCCATTTCAAGTTAATTTTTGTATGTGGTGTAATGTAAGGCTTCAATTTCATTCTTCTCCATGTGGTTATCCAGTTTTCCCAACACCATTTATTGAAGACACTACCCTTTCCTCACTGATTATTCTTAACATTTTTTAAAGATTCTATTTATTTATTTGAGAGACAGAGAGCACAAGGGGGGGCAGGAGAGGCAGAAGGAGAGGGAGAAGCAGACTCCCCACTGAGCAGGAAGCCCGGGATGATGACCTGAGCCAAAGGCAGATGCTTAACCCACTGAGCCACCCAGGTGCCCCCCTCATTGAATATTCTTGACTACATTGTCAAATATTAGTTGACCATAGAGTTGAGGGTCCATTTCTGGGCTCTCGATTCTGTTCCATTAATCTCTGTGTCTATTTTTATGCCAGTACCATATTGCTTTAATTACTATAGCTTTGTAGTATAGCTTGAAATCAGGAAATGTGATGCCTCCAGCTTTGTTCTTTCTCAAGACTGCTTTGGCTATTCAGGGTCTTCTGTGGTTCCGTATGAATAGTCATATTTGCCATCAGCATTACCAATAGCTCATTCTCTTTTGCTACCTGTTTGAAATGCTGTCTTTATCATATATCAAATTCCCATTTATATCTGTGTCCCTTTCTGGATTCTATATTCTGATTGATATATTCATCTATACCTGCATATTACCACACATTTAATTATAAGAGATTTACAGTATCTTGTAATGCTTTGTAAGGCAAGAAATTTTGATTCTCAGTTAGTTGCACTAGAGTCTGAGCATTGCTTACTTGATTTGTGGACCACCACTGCAGAATAGATATATGGAAGAGGCTTTCAGAAACAATTCCTTTTATAGACTGAAGTCAAAGTTACTTTTGTTTAGCTTTTTATTTAGAAATAACTTCAAACTTACAGAAATTCTGCAAGAATAGGATAGAGAACTCCCATATACCCTTTACCCAGATTCACTAATTTTTAATAATTTTCTATATTTGCTTTATCATTCTCTTTCTTCTCTATATACTCACTTTTATTACTTATTTTCTTTTTTAAAAAAGATTTTATTTATTTGACAGAGAGAGACACAGCGAGAGAGGGAACACAAGCAGGGGGAGTGGGAGAGGGAGAAGCAGGCTTCCCGCCGAGCAGGGAGCCCGATGCAGGGCTCGATCCCAGGACCCTGGGATCATGACCTGAGCTGAAGGCTGACGCCTAACAACTGAGCCACCCAGGCACCCCTTATTACTTATTTTCTGATTGAGAACAGGTTGCCCTTTTATCTCTTAGTACTTCATTGTGCATTTCCTATGAATACAGATAATTCTCTTATGTAACCAAAGTGGAATTATGAAATTCAGAAAATTTAACATTGATATAATACATTTACCTAATTGGCAGCCAATATTCCAATTGTATAAATCAGTGCCATCTTTTGTAGCATTTCCTCCCTCCACTTCATGAAGGGTCAAGGTCTGTGATTCTTCTCACTTTGGGTTTGGGACCTAGCTGATCAAGTATTAATAATCTACTTTTTTTGGAAAGTATAATGCTATCTCTTCTTGGGAATAAGGTAATGGACATAACATATAATTATTTCTAATCATATGACAACCTCAAATAATAAATCTGGATACTGCTAAAACCTCTTGCTCCCCATTTCTTTTGCAGGCATCAATGGCTATGTTTTTGACAACTTGCAGCTGTCAGTTTGTTTGCATGAGGTGGCATACTGGTACATTCTAAGTGTTGGAGCACAAACTGACTTCTTGTCTGTCTTCTTCTCTGGATATACCTTCAAACACAAAATGGTCTATGAAGACACGCTTACCCTATTCCCATTCTCAGGAGAAACTGTCTTCATGTCAATGGAAAACCCAGGTTAGTTATTTATGTTATTCTTTTTTTAAGATTTTATGTATTTATTTGAGAAAGAGAGAGAGAGTGGTGGGAAGGGGCAGACAGAGAGGGAGAGGGAGTCCTAAGCAGATTCTGCACTGAGCTTGGAGCCCAACGCAGGGCTCAATCTCACGACCCTGAGATCAGGGCCTGAGCTGAAACCAAGAGTTGGACACCCAACCAACTGAGCCACCCAGGCACCCCAGTTATTTATTTATTCTTTTACTAACAGCTGTGATCACTTCACTAGCCATGAATTTGCTCATATGTGGGCAAATACTAAATGGTTCAAGTGATCTTAATAATTGCAAGGCATTTTAATGACAACAATACATCAGATATTTAACTTTAAAATCTTTCCTCTAAAAAGTGCCTTTACTTACCATTGGCCAAAATTATAAATGTGTTTATTAAACTATAGTGGTAAATATACATTTATACATGCAATTAACATGTGAAGCTAAATATGTTTCTGTGTGCTTTGTGAACTGTGTACTCTTATAAATACCCCCTAGAAGCCTTTGGGAGTGCATTGTAATCTCTCTTTGTACACATACCCTCAAACCACTGGGAACCCTTTAGGACGAATGTCACTGGCAGTTTCTCATCTTCTCTCTCCATCCATAACCACTGCAAGGCTTTTGAAAGCACCAGCCCTGTGATCAGGAGGAACACTGACCTGGCCTAAATCCAACACAGATTGTTGCTTCATTTATACAGTTTAGTAACAAGTGCTAGGCCACTCTGTGCTCCAGTCCCTCCCACCTCTATCATCTGCAGAGGAAAGCACATAAAACTACCTGCAGATTATAGTTATTCTCTTACATGGAAGGCTTTTCTGGAGATAAACTCTCATGGGAAAATTTGTGGGGAATAAAAGCCAATCTCATCATATATAAACATATGTTCACTTTTATACCCAGAAACTTTTCTTAGGTCAAGTAATGTACTTTTGTGGGAAGTGAGTAAAGAAGAACCTGACAGAACTCCAATAATGTCTCTGAAAGTATCTTTTATATTTATGTTTACATCTTTGTTATCTGTTTTATACCTAATTTGCAAACTCTCTGAGAACAGAGACCTTGTTTATCTTATTCATCACTGTATCTCTGAAGTTTATAGTTCCTGGCCTATAATAAATGCTTAATAAATATTTTTCCCATTAATGAATGAATCAAATATGTACAAAAAGAATATGAAACAGTATGTATAATATGGTTGTAATTGTCTAAACCAAAGAGAGAAAGTGTCTGTATGTGTATGTGTGTGTGTATAAGCAGAGAAAAAATATTTTAAATATCAATATTTTGAGAAGCTTTTAGATTATTTTGGTGATCACTTAAATTCTAAAGACAAATTAAAACTCTGCTTTATGTGTCTTGAGGAAAAAATTTTAATAGAATATCACTAATTACAAAGCTCAAGCCAAAGCCCCTAGAGATTTCCTGTGTTCAACATGGTAAAGTCTGATCCCTTTTGTTTATTTTATTGAGGTAAAATTCACCATTTTAACCTTTTAAAAGTATACAATTCAGTGGCTTCCAGTACATTCACCATGTTGTACAACTATTACTATTATCTAATTCCAAAATATTTTTATCACCCCAAAGAGACCCTTTACCATTAAGCAGTCACTTCCCATCCCCCCTTTCCTAACAAGCACTAATCTACTTTCTGTCTCTAGGAATTTGCCTCTTCTGAGTATTTCATATAAGTAGAATAATACAATATTTGTCCTTTTGTGTCTGGCTTCTTTCACTCAGTGTAATGTTTTCAAGATTCATCCATGTTGTAGTGGGTCTCAGTACATCATTCTTTTTATCACTACACACTTCACTTTACACTCTGCTTTAACCACACATCACCATAAAAAATAAATGATAATTATATGATGTGATAGAGGTGCTAGCTAATGCTATGGTGGTAATCGTATTGTAATATATTAATGTATCAATCTGCTCTGAGGGATTTCTTTTCATGGGGAAAGGAAACAGGACGACTCTAGCAACTCTAATCACCACCTGAAGACCTCCACAGTCTTCACAGATACTGAAGCCAGCTCACAGAGCTGCTCAGAGTTTAAGCTGCATCTTCTCCCCAAGGATATGATGCTGGCCCTGCTCCCTGGGGCCTAGGCCTCCATAGCACCTGCCATCCTCGGGGCCTGAGGCACCACACAGTACCCCATCATCCCTGGGGCCCATGCTGCTGTTGTACCCTGCCCCCAAGCACCAAGCCACCAGAGCACCCCACCCACCAGGGCCTAGGCAGTGGGGCATGCCCCAGAGACCTGGACCCCAGCTCCATGGATGATCTATGCATGCCTGAGCTTTGGCCACTGACACCAGCACAGCAGATGTGCCCATGCTCCAAGACCCTGGAGCATGGTAGTTTCATGCACGCCTGAGCCTAGAACCCTGACTCTGCTGCCACTCTGAGTGTCTGCACCCTGAAAACCAGCATTACCACTACTCCATGCACCCTTCTGCCCCAGAACCTAACACCATCACCAAGGCCTGGACACTCACCTGCCAGACCCAGCACCAAGATGGATCCCCCTAGCTAGGACATTGCCCTGTGGTTGAAAAAGCCAGCCTCTAACAACTCTCACTGCCACTGCTACCAGACACAGCCTTGGCCACCAAGGGCCTCCCCCTCCATTCTTCACTGACATTAACCTCAGCTGATAGAGCTGCATAGAAATGATGCTACTGTGCCCTCCCTGTGCCCCACCCACAGGTGAAAGTCACTCCCAACCAAGTCAGTCCATCCATACAGACTGGAAGAGGTGATTGCTCCCTCAAATGCAGGGCCACAAGAAACACACACAAGAAAAGCTGACATAGCCAGAGGAACACAGTAACTTTCCAATGACTGACCCCAAAGAAATGGAAATCTACAAATTGCCTGTAAAGAAACTCAAACTTACTATTTTAAGGAAACTCAGCAAGATATAAGAGAACACAAACAGGCAATTCAATAAAATTAGGAAAATAGTACATTAACAAAATAAGAAGTTCAAAAAAGAGAAATCACTTTAAGAATTCTGGAGCTAAAAAGTACAATGAGTGAAATGGGGGGAAAATACATCAGACTTAATCAAACAGAAGAAAGAATCTGTGAACTCAATAACAAATCTTTTGAAATTATCCAGTCTGAGGGAAAAAAAAAAAAAGGAATGAAGAAAGCCTACAGGACTTAAGGGATACCATTAAATTTTTCCCAAGAAGACATACAAATGGCCAATAGGTATATGAAAAGGTGTTCAAATCACTAATCATCAGTAAATGTAAATCAAAACCAAAATGAGATATCACCTCACATCTGTTAGGATGCCTATTATTAAAAAGACAAGAGATAGCAAATGCTGGTGAAGATGTGGAAAAAAGGGAACCTGCATGCATTGTTGATGGAATGTAAACTGGTGCAGCCACTCTTTAATTTGAGATTCTTCACAAATTAAAAATAGAATGATTCAGCAATCCCACTTCTGAGTATATAGCCAAAGGAAATGAAATCATGATTTCAAAGACATATCTGCACTCCTGTGTTTATTGCAGCATCATTCACAATAGCCAATATATGGAAATAACCTAAGTGTCTATTGATGAATGAATGGATAAAGGAAACGTGATATATATAATGGAATATTATTCAGCCACAAAAAGGAGAAACCACCATTTATGACAATATGGATGAACCTGGAAGGCATTATGCTAAGTGAAATAGCCAGACAAGGACAAATACTGTACGGAATCACTTATGTGGGAAATCTAAAAAAGAAGAAGAAGAAAAAGTCAAACTTATGGAAACAGATAGTAGAATGGTGGTTATATCATGTTTTGTAACCTGCTTTGTTTCTTAATGATATATTCAATGTTTTTCTATATATACATCTAATAAATATAGACGAGCATAATTATTTTTGAAAGATTGCTTAATATTCCATACTAGGGATATTGTACCAGCCTTGGATGACCAAAGAGCTCTTGTCTATTGGAGCCTGAGATGTGCTCCTACCTACCTGTGATCAGCTGGGCTCTGTCTCTCTGGGTTACTTTGATAAAAACTAATTCCAAGATTGATAACAGCTTACAAAAATAATTAGTTCACTGAAAGCCCCGGTTATATCACTGAGGCAGGAGACTTAACTGGTCTATATATTTGTAAGTCTCAAACTTGGCTGGGCATCTTATGCCTGTGTCAGAAGTTGGAGGAGGGGATAGGCAGCTGGTGTCTCTAAGGGAATTATAATTCTTTTAATTTTCTTCGCAACTGTAACTATATCTCCTTTCTTATTTTAAATTTTGTACATGTAGGATTTCTTATTTTTATTTGGTTATTTTATTGTTTTTCATCAGAGTCAACTCTTCTTTAAGCTCTTGGATTGAGATATTAACTTTTATTCATGCATGTAATACAAAAAGTTGTTCTCATTACAAAATTTCAACAAGTACAGATAGAACTACAGTCCTTGATCACTATTCCCAATCCCAGGCTCTTCTCAGAGTTTGTTGTATGTCATTCCAAACCTGTTTATGGAGTTTCATTTTCCCTTTTCTCAGTCAGTTACTGTCCTTCTTAAAAAAAAGAAGGAACTGGTTATGTCTAAGTTATAACAGTAGAATTTTAAGAGTCAAAGACCTTATTTAAATTACTCATTTCAGCTCCAATCCTAGTCTACTCTGACCCAACAAGGTTTTTTTTTTTTCTTCAAATTTTTATTTAAATTCTAGTTAGTTAGCATGTAGGGTAACATTGGTTTTAGGAGTAGAATTCAGGGGCACCTGGGTGGCTCAGTCAGTTGAGCGTCTGACTCTTGGTTTCAACTCAGGTCATGATCTGAGGATGAGATCAAGCCCTGCAACGGGCTCTGTGCTCACCACAGAATCTGGTTGTCTCTCTCCCTCTTCCCCTCCCCCTGCTTGCTCTCTCTCTCTCGAATAAATAAATAAAATCTTTTTAAAAAGGAGAATTCAGTGATTCATCACTTACATACAACACCCAGTGCTTATCACAAGTGCCCTCCTTAATACCTGTCATTCATCTAGCCCATCTCCCACCCACCTCCTTCCATCAACCCTCGGTTGTTCTCTATAGTTTCTTATGGTTTGTTTGCCTCCCTTTTTTTTTCCCCTCCCATATGTTCATCTGTTTTGTTTCTTAAATTCCACATATGAGTGAAATCATATGGTATTTGTCTTTCTCTGACTGACTTATTTCACTTACCATAATGCACCCTAGCTCCATTCACATCATTGTGAGTGGCAAGAGTTCATTCTTTTTGATGGCTGAGTAATATTCCATTGTGTTTGTATACCACATCTTCTTTATCCATTCATCAGTCAGTGGACATGTGGGTCTGTCCATTGTTTGGCTATTGTTGATAGTACTGCCATGAACATCAGGGTACGAGTAGCCCTTTGAATCTGTATTTTTGTATCCTTTGACCTAACCTAGTTTTATGCCATCAAAAATATCCTTTAGATGTTATGAAATTAGGCTCCCAATCCACAAACTTATGTTCACTATGGAATCAAATAGGATTTCATTTCTTATTTTTATAACTTGTTTAATTGAAACTTCTAATTGTTTTACTGTTCTTACTATAATGTTTCCCCTTTAGTTATTGTCTTTTTTTTTTCAAGAGTTTTATCATACAATGTATTCTTTTTACTTAGAGACTGACCTCCTGGACCCATGCATCCTCATCCAGTCTGGGCTGGTTCTTTCTAGAATTGACTGAGTATCAGTTATTAACTTGGGACTTTTCTTCATCCTTCTTCAGCATAGGTGCCTGCCTCTTTCCTGGATCCCATGTCATCCTATTTTTTAAATATACAATATACTCCTTTGTTTTGAAAACACACTTTCATCACTTCCTGAGATTGGCTGCTTTAGAAGTAGATTTTCTAAATCTTTGTATAATAGAAAATGTATTCTCATTTCCCATTTGATTATCTGGCTGCACATAGAGTGCAATGTGCATTAATTCTGAAATGCATTTGACCATAAAAACCTTTCCCATGGGCATCCCATTATCTTATAGGTCTCTATGGAAATATTCTTGGGGGAAAGTTTTCCCTTTAAGGGAAGCTGGATTCGGTTAAGATTTTGCTCGCAAATGTCATACAAGATGAGGAGACTGTTAAGGTACCTGATGGGTTGCTTGGTAAATGTATATTTTTTTAACTTGTGTTTATGTATCTACTTTACCACTATGAAATTCCTTCACTTGAATAATCCTGTTCATAGTAAAAATTAATATTGCTATAGCCCTGTAGTGGAATTTTATATTATGTGTACCCTAAACCCAAGTCCTACTCCCTTGTGCTTACTTATCCTGCAAATTGATGACAGTGGAAGCTAGTCATTGTGTTATATGATTTGAATACTCTATATGATAGGATAGATACTGTTAGCCTCATTTATAAATTAGAAAACTGGAGCTCGGAGAGGTCAGTTGACTTGCTCAAAGTCACACAGCTGGTAAATGGTAGAGCTAGAATTTAAACCCAGGCAATCCGACTCTGAGAACCTGTGCCATTATGTTATATAGCAATAATAGCTAGCCTACATAAAGTTTCATGAATTAAGTCATTATCATCATCAAAGAGTTCTGTGTGGGGGAGTCTGGGTGGCTCAGTCAGTTAAGCATCCTACTCTTGGTTTCAGCTGCCTTCGGCTCAGGTCATGGTCTCAGGGTGGTAAGATCAAGCCCCATGTCGGGCCCCGCACTCAGCACCAAGTCTCCTTGAGATTCTTTCCCCTTCCTTCTCCCTCCCCCTGTGCTCCTCCCCCAGCTCACATGTGCACTTTCTCTCTCTCTCTAAAATAAAAAAAATAAAATAAATCTTTTTTTAAAAAGATTTCTGTGTGACTATTAAGACTCCACCATTGGGGGTGCCTGGGTGGCTCAGTCAGTTAAACGTCTGCCTTCGGCTCAGGTCATGGTCTCAGGGTCCTGGGATTGAGCTCCACATCAGGCTCCCTGCTTGCGGGGAGTCTGCTTCTCCCTCTCCCTCTGCCCCTCCCCCCCAGCTCATGCTTGCGCTCTCTCTCTCCCTCTCTCTCTCAAATAAATAAAATCTATTTTTAAAAAAGACTCTCTACTAATGTGTATGTTAATTACATTTCTCCATTTTTATCCCAATATCTATCCATTTTTTTTAAAGATTTTATTTATTTACTTAACAGAGAGAGAGAGAGAGCACAAGTAGGCAGAGTGGCAGGCAGATGGAGAGGGAGAAACAGGCTCTCCGCTGAGCAGGGAGCTGGACGTGGGGCTCAATCCCAAGACCCCAGGATCATGACCTGAGCCGAAGGCGGCCGCTTAATGGACTGAGCCACCCAGGCGCCCCAATATCTATCCATTTTTAATCAAAGGCCTTTCTTGTGATTACAGACAGATATACCACAATAGCAGCAATGTAAAAACCACTTTCACTACCATTGTTGGACTGTTTATGTGCCAGGGATTTAACCTGATGACCTGTAATAAAATGATACTGACTAGTATTTTTTCATTATCTGGGAATAGAAGAGAACTACTAATACAGAACTTGCTTGGGACCTGGGTTGTAAGTAACCAGAGTCTTATTCTTCCTCATCTCCAGGTCTGTGGGTTCTAGGGTGCCACAATTCAGACTTTCGGAACAAAGGTATGACAGCCTTACTGAAGGTTTCTAGTTGTAACAGGAACATTGGTGATTATTATGAGGACACATATGAAGATATTCCAGTTTCCCTGCTGAATGAAAACAATGTCATTGCACCCAGAAGCTTCTCCCAGAATTCAAGGCACCCTAGCACCAAGCAAAAACAATTCAAAGCCACCACAACTCCAGAAAATGACATAGAGAAGATTGACCCTCAGTATGCAGAAAGAACACCGCTGCTTAAAGCACAAAGTGTCTCCTCTAGTGATTTGTTGATGCTGCTGGGACAGAATCCTACTCCGCATGGATTATTCTTATCTGGTCTCCAGGAAGCCACACATGAAGCTGATGGTCATTTACTTGGAGCAATAGAAGGAAACAAGGGCCCATCTGAAGTGGCAAGTCTCAGACCAGAGCTCCACCACAGTGGGGACAGAGTATTTACTCCTAAGCCAGAAGTGCAATTAAGATTAAATGAGAATTTGGGGACAACTATAACAGTAGAGTTGAATAAACTTGATTTAAAGATTTCTAGTTCATCAAACAGTCTAATGACTTCACCAACAATTCCATCAGACAAGTTGGCAGCAGGTCCTGAAAAGACAGATTCCTTAGAACCCCCAAATATGTCAGTTCACTTTAATAGTCATTTAGGTACCATTGTATTTGGTGAAAATTCATCTCACCTTATTCAGTCTGGTGTACCTTTGGGCTTGAGTGAAGGAGATAATGATTCCAAGTTGTTAGAAGCAGCTTTAATGAATAGTCAAGAAAGTTCACTGGGAGAAAATGTATTATCAATGGAGAGTAATAGATTATTTAAAGAAGAAAGAGTTCATGGACCTGCTTCATTAATCAAAGATAATGCTTTATTCAAAGTTAATATCTCTTTGGTAAAGATAAACAAGACATCAGTTAACTCAACAATTAATAGAAAGACTCATGTTGATGTCCCAACATTATTTATTGAGAACAGTACATCAGTCTGGCAAGATACTATATTAGAAAGTAATACTGAGTTACAAGAAGTGATTTCTTTGATTCATAATGAAACATTTATGGACAGAAATATTACAGCTTTGGGGCTAAATCATGTGTCAAATAAAACCACTTCATCAAAAAATGTGGAAATGGCCCACCAAAGAAAAGAAGACCCTGTGCCACTAGGTACAGAAAATCCAGATCTGTCATTCTTCAAGATACCGTTCTTGCCAGATTCAGCAAATCGGATAAAAAGGACCCATGGCAAGAACTCCCTGAGCTCTGAGCAAAGGCCCAGTCCAAAGCAATTAACATCTTTAGGATCAGAAAAATCTGTGAAAGATCAGAATTTTTTGTCAGAGGAGAAGGTGGTAATAGGAGAGGATGAATTTACAAAGGACATAGGACTCAAAGAGATGATTTTTCCAAAGAGCAAGAGTATATTTTTTACTAATTTGGCTAATGTCCAAGAAAATGATACATACAATCAAGAAAAAAAATCTCAGGAAGAGATAGAAAGAAAGGAAAAATTAACCCAAGAGAATATGGTTTTGCCTCAGGTATATACAGTGATTGGCACTAAGAATTTCCTGAAGAACCTTTTCTTACTAAGCACTAAGCAAAATGTAGAAGGTTTAGATGAGCAGCCATATACTCCAATACTTCAAGACACCAGGTCATTAAATGATTCAGCACATAGAGAAGGAATTCACACAGCCAACTTCTCAAAAATAAGGGAAGAAGCAAACTTGGAAGGCCTGGGAAATCAAACAAAGCAAATGGTAGAGAGATTTCCAAGCACTACAAGGATGTCTCCTAATCCAAGTCAGCACCTTATCACTCAACGTGATAAGCGGGCTTTGAAAGAACCCAGACTCTCACTAGAAGAAATAAAATTTGAAAGGTGGGTAATTTTGAATGACACCTCAACCCAGTGGTCCAAAAACATGAACTATTTGACCCAGGGCACCCTCACAAAGATAGAGTACAATGAGAAAGAAAAAAGAGCCATTACTCAGTCCCTCCTATCAGATTGTTCTATGAGGATTCATGGCCTTATTCAAATGAATGATTCTGCATTACCTAGTGCAAAAGTATCAGCATTTCCATCAATTAGACATACAGATCTGACCAAGATCCCATCCCAAGACGACAACTCTCATCTTCCAGCATCAGCCTGTAATTATACCTTTAGGGAGAGGAGTTCTAGGGTCCAAGAAAGGAGTCATTTCTTACAAGAAGCCAAAAGAAATAACCTTTCTTTAGCCTTCCTAACCTTAGAAATGATTGGAGGTCAAGGAAAGTTCAGCTCCATGGGGAAAAGTGCCACAAACCAACCCCCGTACAAGAAACTTGAAAACACTGTTCTCTTGAAACCAGGCTTGTCTAAAACATCTGGTAAAGGTCAAGTACTGCCTAAAGTTCGTGTTCATCAGGACTCTTTACCTACAAAAACTAGCAATGATTCTCCTGGCCACCTGGATCTCATGGAAAAGATCTTTCTTCAGAAAACACAGGGACCTGTTAAATTGAATAAAACAAATAGACGTGGAAAAGTGCCCTTTCTGAAATGGGCAACAGAAAGCTCTTGGAGGGAGAAGATTCCCTCCAAGCTGCTGGGTCCCCTTGCTTGGGATAACCACTCTGCTACCCAGATACCAAGAGAAGAGTGGAAATCCCAAAAGAAGTCACAGAAAAACACAGCTTTTAAGAGAAAGGACACCATTTTGCCCCTGGGCCCTTGTGAAAATAATCATTCAATAGCAGCAATAAATGAAGGACAAGATAAGCCCCAAAGAGAAGCCACCTGGGCAAAGCAAGGAGGAACTGGAAGGTTGTGCTCTCAAAACCCACCAGTCTCAAGACGCCATGAAAGGGAAATAACCCTTAGTACTCTTCAGCCAGAGGAAGACAAATTTGAGTATGATGACACCTTCTCAATTGAAATGAAGAGAGACGATTTTGACATCTATGGTGAAGATGAAAATCAGGGCCTCCGCAGCTTTCAAAAGAGAACACGACACTATTTCATTGCTGCAGTGGAGCGTCTCTGGGATTATGGGTGAGTAAGAAACAGGTATGGGTGCATTGATTATTCCTCTGTCCTGCTAGTGCAACATTTGACTTTACCAGGTGCTGAAATAATAGAAAAGGCACAGCTTATCTGCAGGAATGAGACTCCAAAGATTGCTTATAAAGGAAGAATGAGCTGCAAGAGTAGTCTTAGTCTTGTGAAAAGGTTCTGAGAGAGGCAGGAGGAAGAAGTGAAGTGTGTGGTAAAGAGGTTGAGGATGCAGAGAAAGTTGTTTTCCATGGTACTGGGGATCCAGGGAGCAAAGTGGGAGGATGTGGTTGTTAGGGGAGCAGAGGGAGGTTGGGCAAGGAAGAGAAAGTGCAGAGAAATTTGGAAGACAAGGAGACAGACGCTTGGGTGGCTCAGTCAGTTAAGCATCTGCCTTCAGCTCAGGTCATGATCCCAGGGTCCTGGGATCGAACCCCACATTAGGCTCCTTCCTCAGCAGGGGAGTCTGCTTCTCCCTCTCCCTCTGCCTGCTGCTCCCCCTGCTTGTGTTGTCTCTCTGTCTGACAAATAAATAAATAAAATCTTTTAAAAAAATAAAATAAACTTAAGGAGAGTCAGTCAACAAATAATTTTTATTGAGCACCTACTTTATGCCAGACACATTTGTAGACACTGGGGTACAGTAAAGAAGAAGCTTACACTCATTTGGGGAGAGCAAGAGATAATTAGTAAAAAAATAAATAGGGAAATCTTTATGGTGCTATTCAAAAGACAGAATCAAATAATATGATAGAGAGTGACTGGAGGTGTTACTTTAGCTGTGGGGGTCAGAGAAATCCTGTTTATGGAATTGAGACCTAAATGATGATAAGAGGACAGCTGATGGAGCTCTGAGAGATGTTTCCAGGCAGAGGGAATAGAAAATACAAAGGCCCTGTGAATGGAACAAATCTGAGGAACAAAAAAGGACCAGTATGACTGGAGTACAGCAAAAACTGGGGGGAGGGGTTTATGGGAGACAAGGTAGTAAAGATGAGTAGTGGTCACATAATAGAGGTCCTAGAGGAAGGTTAGGTGCCATCTTCATTACTCATTGTCGCTGTCTGACCTTGCTCTCTACCTCAAATGGTCCCTTATTGCTGCATAGCAACTATAGAATATTTCCCTAGTCTACTGACTTTCCCACTGTCCTGGACCCCTATCTTACATTTTCTACTTTTTCCTTAAATCTCCAACCCCTTTTACCCATTCTCCAACAGCCCTTCTGATTCATAGCTAATGCTTGTGCAGTGAACCTCCAGACTTCCAACACATTTATTGACATCTGTAACCATACACTGTCTTCATGCTTATGACAATAAATAGACTATACACCTAAGGCCAACCTCTCCAGTTTCCTAGTCAACCGTCTCCAACTTTCCATTACAGTGCATTTTCATCTTATCCAATACTCAGTTCATAATCAAATTCTGGTTGTTTTTTGAAATTAAAGCCAATTGGATTCTTTGATGGATTAGATGTGGTTGTGAGAGAAAAAGATGAGTTAGGAATAACTTCAGCGTTTAGAGTAACTAAAAAGAAGGAATGATCATTGACTGCCAAGGAAAACGCTGGACAAACAGCAGGTTTTGGGAAGGGGCAGAAATTAAGAGACTAATTTTGTACATGGTAAGGTAGGGAGTTTATATGTAAATCTCAAGTTCAAAGAAGATATCTGAGATGGAGATATACAACTGGATTTTATCTGCATAAGAATAGACCATCATGAGAATGAATGTAAACAGAAAAGAGGAGCGTTCAAAGAACTAATACCCAGAGCAGTCTAAACATTTAAAGGTCAGGGAAATGAAGAACCAGCGAAGTTGATTTTGTTTTTTGTGGTTTTTTTTAAAGATTTATTTATTTATTTATTTGAGAGAGAGAATGAGATAGAGAGAGAGAGCACATGAGAGGGGGGAGGGTCAGAGGGAGAAGCAGACTCCCTGCTGAGCAGGGAGCCCGATGCGGGACTCGATCCCGGGACTCCAGGATCATGACCTGAGCCGAAGGCAGTCGCTTAACCAACTGAGCCACCCAGGCGCCCAGAACCAGCGAAGTTGAAAGAGAAAGATTGGCATGAGGTTAGTAGAAAAATGAAGGAAAATTGGTGTCAGAGAGACCAGGTGAGAACACACATCAAGGATGGACTAATCAACTATCAAATACTCCTGAGAGTTCAACTAAGATGAGTACTGAGAATTAGTAACGTAAAGACCAACAGTGACCTTGAAAATGTAGTTTTTATGGAATAATAGAGATAAAAGACTTTTTGGACTGGTTTAAAGAAAGAATAAGTGGAAAAGAATCCAGCTACTTCTCTCCATCTCAGTGGCTACCATTCTGGTCTAAATCATCCTCAACTCTCACCCAAATTATTTTAATAGCCTCTTAACTAGACTTGCAGCTTCCAGTGTGGCCCTTTTCCAAACACAGCAGCAATTTTCAATTTGTATTACAATACAATTTGTATTACAATTTGTATTACAATTTTCAAATTGTAATTCTGATTATTGTTATCTGCTCCAAACCTCCCAGTGTATTTCCTTCTCACCCTTAGTAAATTCCAAAGCCCTCATCATGGCCTTCAGGTTTCTGAGATTTGACCCTCTGAAACCTCTCTGATCTCTTCTACCATTGTTTCCTGCTCACTCTGTTCCAGCCACACTGGCCTCATTGTTCTTCCTCAAATGCAACAAATGTATACCTTTCTATAGGCCTTTGCACTTTGTGTCTCGTCCTCTGATATCCTGCTATTTATTCTTTCACTTCCTCCAGGTTGCTACTTAAGTTTCATTTTATCAGGCTTTCCCTGTACACTGTATATACGTATAGCTCCTGCCACACTTTTTCAGTGAACTTACTAGCACCTGAAATAGTATACACTTACTTGTCTATTGTCTGTGTTCCCCAACTAGAAAGTAAGTTCATTGAGAACACAAATTTTGAAGATGTTGTTCAATGGTATATCCCCAGAACCTTAAACAGTGCCTGGCATGTGATAGATACTCAAATATCTGTTGAATGAATTAGTAAATGATGGATGTAGGGAGGCAAGAGCAGGTCTTTTTATGTATGTCTGAACTCCAGGGAGTACCAAGTAAACGGTAACACAAGTTCCATGGGCAAGAATAGAGAGGCAGGGAGACCAGTTAAGAGGCAATTATAATCATCCAGGTAAGAGAAGACAGATTATTTAGACCAAAACAGTGGTGGTAAAAATCAAAGGAAACAGAAAGATGCTGAGCATAATTTGGGGATAAGCAGACAGGATTTGCTGTTAGATTCAGTACGGGGGGAATAGGGAGAAAGGACTCAAAGAAGATTTTTAGTTTTTTTCCTAAGCAACTAGGTGGATGATGGTGACATTTAATGAGATGTGGAAGGCTTGAGGTAGAACAGATTTATTTGAGGAAACACTCAAGGGTCTGTTTTGAACATACTTAGTTTGAGATGCCCACTAGACCTCCAATTGAGATGTTGAGTAGGCAGTTGGATATATGAGTCTGGAGTCCAAGGAAGAGGTCCATGCTAAAGATGAATAAATTTGGGATTTATAAGCATATTGACAGCATTCAGATAAGACCTGTTGGTATTATCAAGAGAGTAAAAGTAGATGTAAACAATGCCCACTTTAAGCTGGGTCCCCAAAGGTCTATATCCTCAAGGTAACAGTAAACCAGTTAACTCACTTCATTGACGCGCAAATTTCTATTCTTAATCATAATTTATGCAAGTCTTGGGTTGGCAGTGCCTGGGGACATCTGGCAGAAGAAAACATAAAACCTCTCAACATCCTAGGCCTCAACTTATTTTCACGAATATTTCAGATACATTGTCCAGAACACAAAGATAAAGGGTACAAAACAAAATGAAAAAAATAAATAAGAAGCCACAGAAACAATAGAGAGCCAAAACAAACTCAGAGACTTAAGATCTAGGAATCATATACAGTTATTAAAACACTTATGCTTCATGTAGAAAGAATTGGTGAACTAGTAGGTAAGTAAAATGAAATGGTATGGAATGCAGCATGCAGAGATTTTTTTAATGGAAAATACAAAAGAGATAATAAAAGACTATGGCCAACTGTATTTTCCAAAAATGGATGTGCCAATATGTTCTGTCCTATATGCTCTTGTACAATATGACCTTGCCATTCTCCCATTCAAGAGGTAAGATGTAGTCCCCCTCCTCTTGATCTGGCCTGGCATTAGGACTCATTTGTGACCAATATAACAGAAATATGTGACATATAGATGTGGTGGAAGTGATGCTGGTTCAGAAAATACTGTGTAGCTTATATCTAGTTCTCCTGAGAAGCCCTCTCTGGAAGAAGCCCAGGCGCTATGTAAGAAATCTGATTACCCTGGTGCTGTCATGCTGGTGATGTCACATGTAGGCCTTCTGGTCAAGAGTCCCAGAGAATCTAGCTTTCCATTCTCTACCAAGGCATCAGGCACGTGAGTGAAGCCATTTTGGACCCTCCAGATAAGCCCAGATGCCAGCTGAATACCACTGAGTCACTACATTTGACACCAAGAGGAGCAAAACTATCACCTAGCCAAGGACTGCTAGAATTCGGACTTAACAGAATTGACAAGTATAATACAAAGGTTGCTGTTTTAAGCCACTAAAGTTTTGAAGTAGTTTGTGATACAGCAACAGATAACCAGAGGAGACTTAAAGGATAGAGTGTGAAGGATTTACTTATTTTTTTTATTTACTTATTTTTAATTGAAATCTCAGAAGGAAAGGAAAGAGTGATTAAAGGAGAAGCTATATTTGAAGAGGTAAGAACTGAATATTTTCCAAAATTAAAAAAAGTCATCAATGCACAGATTCAGGAAGCTCAACAAATCCCAAACAGGATGAATTAAAAAAATCAACACCTAGGCATTTTTCATCAGAGTGAAACTTCAGAAAACCCAAAAGTCTTAAAAGCAGCCAAAGAAAAAATACAGCATACATTCAAACAAGATACAGAAAGGTGACTTTTCAAT